CAATGTGTTTTCTAATGCGATCGCTAGTCCAAACAACGTTTTGTAGGAATTTGTAAACTTCAGCGATGTGATGTATACGCTCGTAGGAGATTTTCGCTGCAAAATATGGCGAGAGCACAGTTGGGGCATCCGAACTCAGGGATATCGATTTTTCGCGCGAGACCATTCAACGCGCTGCACCACGCTCGCAAACACGTGGTATCCTGGGATTAACCTCAGAACCGCACAACTTCATATAGCATCATAAACTACATATTATCTAAGAAATCCCACCGTTTTTTCATTATTTATATTTTTCTTATTCTTTGACACGCACACACAGAGACAGTGCATGTACATTCTCTCTGTACATCTAACAAATATAACAAAAATATTATCAATTGCCTTATATATGTTGCAAATTTCGCTATTAATCGGTTTAACAGCAATAAAAAATTATTGCAAAAAATTATATTAAAAATAATTTTTAGAAAAACTATTTTAGAAAAACTGACTCTAAAATTAAAAGCAATTTCCCATTTTCAGCGCCGGCTTCGTAGCAAAGTCTAAAATTTCGCTTCCGACTTCTCGAGGAATCTACTTAAAGATACCCATTGTAGTACGATCGATCCCCCGACGATAGCGTAATTAAACATTGATTCGACGTTAAATATATTCCGGTGACTCTCGAGACCTCGCGACTGCCTGCTCTCGCGATTTAAGCAAGGAGTTAAATTTAAACCAAACGACAAGTTTAAATTCCACTTTAAACTTTACGCGCCGCAGCTACGAAACGCGCTTTTAAGCAAACACCTATACATCGTCGCTACGCAATTCTAATTAAACGACCGAAGTGAATTACGTCTGGACATTAAGCTACGAATTCTACAAAAATAAAGTAGCCCACTTTCGGCGCAAAAGTTATTCAAACAAAAACAACAACACTTTCGCAAGTTTGCAAGAAATGAAAAGATATTTAACAAGTATTTGTCTTCATAGCTCGCAATATTCTTCATTTTAATTTTAGAAAAAAAAGATAAGCAAGATAAGTATGTTTATCATTTTAGCGCATTAGCTCGACAAATAATTTTGTTAATATACTAAAATTATATAAACACACATAATCCTATATCTAAACTACTTGCTGAAAGTATAAGATAAAAATCTGTATGTAGCGACATACACACACACATATAATCCTGCAATTAATGTTATTTTATGGCAGATCACATATAATAAAACAAGTTCTAACGCCAACAAGAAGAGCCGACGACAAAAAACTGGAATCTCTCGCAATTATGGAGCAAGGTTAACTTTAGAGCTCTTGCTAAAATATGCCGTCGTTTAAAAGCGACCAAGAGCGCGGTGCAATTTCGAGAGCAAAATCGTCGGTACGCTGGCGGTGACCGAGCCCATGGCCGTGAGTTACTCGTCGCATAACCGCGGCAAAAGAGCCTCGCCTAGAGCCGAAATTATTGCGTTTTCTTGGCCCCTGTTCAAACACCGACCGACGGCTTATGCCGCGACGACGGCACGATTATTGCAACACGCTGCCAGGCTGGCCTACATCGAAGAAAATCGTGTTCTCGTCGAGAAGACGAACGTTCGTTTCCGATATCGTCTCTGCAGTCCACGTGCAAGTATCGAGCGGCATGAGAACAATCGCGGTCAACTTCCCGTAAAGCTTATATAATCGCGAAAATAAAAATGTATCTGAAATTAGTAGCTGTATTATAACATATTTTCGTTTAAAAGCCAGCTGCATCGATTGACAAATGTTTATTTTTCAATAAAATTTATCTAATAAAAAAACTGACAACATATATATCAAGCAATAGCAAAATTCTAATCTAAATATTTGCAACATTGTAATGTAAATCGATAGCAAATGCGATATATTCTCATATCATTAAATATTGGTTATTAATTATTAATGATATACTACATACTACTGTTTCTATTATTAAATTACGAGAAATAAAATGTAATAATATTTGACGAGCTACATTTATTGACAGTATTTGTGCAAAATTGTTAAAAAGATTCCGATCGCGTATGATAAAGTAACGCGGTTCAGTTAACTGGCAATTTTCAGTTGCCACGTGACGCGTAGTTCATGATTCGATTTCGTACAACTTCCACATCCGCACGAACACACAGTTTACATTTTTCGTCGCAGTGACGTACATGTAGCGAAAAATACACGAAGCACAGCGTCCGCGCGCGCCGCGTACAACGTTTTATTTTACAATAAATTCGTCACTGTAATTCATGTGATCCATATAAGTGATAAGGAGAGAGATTAGACCGCCTGCGCGCTATCCTCTTTAACCTCTCGCTCCGTTCCGAAAAAAGGTCATTACACGTGACCAAATGCTCCGACGAGTTTCGCGCGATTACGTCGAGAATGCATCGAGAAAAACATTCCTAAATATCATTTTTGATTATCAATTAGCACGATGCGCAGATTCAAGGTCACAGGAGCAGCGCGCAGTACTTAAACGGCGACTACCTGCCTGAACACCTGACTATTCCATTAATTAATGTACGCGACCATCGAGAGTATCCCTCGCTCGTGAATTCCCGAAGGTTGCGCGATTCGATATCGAAGCAACGATATCACGATATTACGACAGGAGGGACAGGGAGGAGAAGGACACACGCGATCTGTCAGCCCGAATGACAGTTGACCGAGTGACCCGCACAAGCCGCAGTCCGCCCCTCCCGCGCAACTTGCACTGCACGATTTTGCTCTCGATCGACAGACAGAGGGACGAACGTATAATACATCGATTCAATTGACATTGGTGAAACATGTACGAGCTTACCACCTTGTTTACGCACTGGCATCTTTCACTTGATGGTGATCCTCGCAGAAAGTGAACAGTGATGAGAAAACGGCACCTCCAGATGCAGAGCGAACGATGTTCCGGAGCAGTCCAACACACGGAGAGAAAGAGAGAGATAGAGAGAGAGAGAGAGACGACACGGCACGAAACAGCGGCACGAACGACGACGAGGAACGACTGCCCGATGTCGGCCTGTCACTTGGGCGCTCGAGATATCCGGAACGCTTCCGCGAAAGAATCACGCACGGTGTCGCGAGCACTGTTGTTATCACGTTGATAAACGACCGGGCCGTGTTTCGTACACTGCGTCTGCAGACGCGCGCACCACTCGAAATGTCACTCGCGAGAATCCGCCGCGACGGCCCGTACGAAACGTGCGGAAACCGCGTAACTACGATATAAACACACACAGGCGGCCGCCGCCACCACTCGGCCACGAGCAATATGGCGTCCCACCTGGTCTAGCAGCCGGAAAACCGACTGGCTGGCAGGAGTGAAATTCCCGGCCCGGATTGGTCCGCCAGCCGCTATGTGACGTCACTGCTCGCGCGTCCGTCACGCGCTACACCACCGCGCAAACAACCCCCTCGTGTACGCCGTCGATATTCGATTGTTCCTGGCTCTACCCGATAATCATGCTATCGTCCGACGTTTTTTGTCTCAAGTATGCTCTCAACCGCCGCACTCGAGCATTTGCGATTCGAACGAGCGTCGCTTATTTTTATAAGATATATTATTATGTTTATCGCTAATTATACGAATTATCTTTCCAGAACATTTCAATAATGTATATAAGAAATCGCGATACGTTAATTCAATCAATAAACGATAATAGATAAATAAATGTTAGAAATTCTATTTTTTTTAAATTGATAATTTAGTGCAAAATCTATTAGCGTTATTCATGATATGCAAATATAATAACAATAATATACATGTAATTGGTTTAACAAAATTGTGTGTTTTTTACTGAATGTGTAATTATACAAACTACACAGTATAAAAATGAGATGAATTAAATGCACGTATATAAATCTGAATATGCCTTCATAACCTAACTCCGATATGAAGGACAAGTAAGTATGTATGAGAACATTTATAAGTAGAACTTCCAATAATTTCGAAATCACTATCAGACCTTGACAGACTTTACTTTCTTTTCGAAATATTGAATGATATGTAATCTGAATCTAAATCAATATAACTGTAACTATGCGACGCTTGTTCGATATTTATAAACGTTTCGTACCTTCCCTTCGCGGCCAAGGCTTTGCACTTGATAATTAATTCGAAACACCGACTAAATGTGGCGCTACTAATCAGAGCTGTAATTGCTGCCATCTATGGCAGCATAATATAACATAAATATTTACTCGTGTGATAAATGGTCATCAATATCGACAACAATTAAAATAATCCGTAAAATTAAATAACATAAATAAAATAATATAAATTTCTAATTATTATGTGAAAACAATAATTTAGTTATCATAATATATAGCTACATATCTATATTTCCGATACTTCCGACACTAATCTACTTTTAAACTTTTATTATACTTCGTCGTCAAATTTCGCGAAGATTTCGATTGATTCCGAATAGATGCATTACTGATGCCGAAATCGCGATAGTATTGCAAAGTAGCAATTATTCAATGCTTACTTACGAGCACTTTATGAAACACTTCCGATAATCACACGCGATTCACTTTTAGACAGTAAAAACCACGAAAAGTACAATGCGATGCGAATGCAATTCCGCCATCCATCGTTAAACGTTTCCTAATGTAACCGACTTTGATCGAATTGAAGTTAATCGAATAATAATTCTTGAAAAGTTAAAAAATCAAACCAATAACATTGCAGTAATTGAGTTTGTTCATGCATGTTTTCGCGCTTATTATGAAATGAGTATACATTTTTTCTTTAGAAAAGACAAGCAAAAAAAATAAATGTAGAAAATACAATAAAACAAAGCTAACATTTATTTAAAACAAAAATACAATAATTAATTATAATATAATTAAAATATAATTAAAATTGTCTTATCAAATATATGACAATCCAAATAGTAAATGAATTAAAATATATTGTATAATTATAACAGATAAATTATAATAAATAAAATATTTTATATGATTGTAATACCAAAAATAACATTAAGATATGTATGTATCACACATTATATGTGCAAACAAGAGAGAGAAACGTTGAAACAACTTTAAATATAATTAGACAATATTTTGTTCCATAAATAGGTAACTTTTGTTACTGACTTACACAATTTGATTTATTTATTTTAGTGTTTTTCTTGCGAGAAAGAGAAAGAAGTAAAATATTAAAAATACATGTGCGAAGAAAAGACTATTGCTCCGAGTGTGCATTATAACCTGCCGGTATCATATGGTTGTACAGGTTATTTTCTGTCCATGCTTTTGCAAAAGTGAAGACTGAAAAAATGGATACAAAACAAAAAGCACGTATCCTGGAAGATGTAAAAGGAGTGTTATCAAAACATGACGTTTTATTGAGAGAAGTGGAAATCATTCGTAACTGGAAACCACAGAGCGATGTGTACATAACCATAAAATACTCTATATCAAACTATCGTGTTTTTCAATAGCAAAATACATCTTTGCATTTGTACGAATATTCTTTGGATAATTATTTGTTACTTAAAGTCATTCAAGTTATATGAGAAGTTGTACACCTCTCTCACGATATATCCTCATAAAATAATAAATCTTTAACCTAGATGGGTGCTGCTATATGGACGTGCTTTACTGGCTGGAGCAGCATCATTCACAGGTGCTTACATTAATCTGCGATTCAGGCGAAAATTAAAATTACGGGATTATGGTCTCTTTCCCACGATGTTAGGTCTTACAGCAGCTCCAGCTATAACAACATCTCTTTCATATTCAGAGGTACTACCTGCAAGTAAAAATTCATTGTATTAAAATGACCAAAAGTATCAGCAATTTGACGTAATAAGGAATGATGCAAAATATAATATATTTTTCAGGTCATCCTGCGAAAACTATTGTTATTAGACATTACTTGTCCTTTATGTTTGGAATCCAAAGCTGCAATCTTGCAAACTTTTACCGGACTGGTTCTGCCACTAATGCTAACACCAATCGCAAATTTCGCAGTATGTATGAATTTTTTCCTATTATTTTTATGATACTAATCACATGAAATCTTAATTTATTATTATTTATTATACTTGATTGACAGGTTACCAGTGGCAGTGGAGTATTTAACACACCACATTATTCTGATATGAAAGGAATATTTAAAATCGTTTCATCAACTTATAAACCAATGCTTCCCAAAATTGCAACATTATTCACCCTTCACGTGTTGCTAGCTAATGTTATAACATATTTACAAATCAAATCTTTTATCCGTATAAAAGATATACAATATATAATGAAACTAGAAAACAAAGATGCATTACATGTGCAATAAAAAGTTTTAAGAAAACAAATTTTATGTGTTAGTAAATAAAAAAATATATGAAGTTAACTACATTGTATATATTATATATAATATAAGGACACTAAGAAAGGCTGTAATAGTTTGTAGAATATAAAATGTATTTTTATTTCATTATTGACATTAGTGTTATAAGATGTCTATTTATAATCATTCACCGATGCTCTTGTTTTTACCAAGAGTATTGTTACGCATAGTAGTTACACATACTATTTCCCTTTCTCAAAATTAATCCAGTATCTAGGCACCATATGATTTGTTATGATAATAAACGCTTTCAAACTGTTTAAAAAGATTGCTGGTTTAAATATTAATAGTATATACAGCTTTTCTAATTTAAGACAATTTTTCTGTAATGTTGACTCTAATATATAAGTTCAATTTACGATCAAAGGTGTGTATTAACTCATGTTTTATATTATTGATTTTCTTATAGGCTGAAGCAAATAGTAAATTTAATGGAATACACCTTTTATCATGTAAATCCGGAAGTATTCAATGCAAGCTTCCAATATGTAATACACGAAAGTTACGATTTGTTTTGTTTTTCTATTATGTTAAACAAACTACTGGAACTTTATATGATTAGATTTGGAAACTTCTTGAATTTTTATCCGACAAAGAAAATGTAGCACCCTTATTTTGCTTATATTACATGTTCTAAATGTTTTAATTAGAAAAAAATTTTACATGATTTGATTTCTAAAATTAAATTGGGCACAAGTGAGCGCAATTTTGATTTGCCAACTACTCTAAAGTTTAAGTATATTACTGGCAGTTTACTGGACGTCATACAGGGGCCCGAGTAGCAAGGAGATCCCAGGAACTATGTGTATGTAATAAGATATATAAAAGATAACATTGATACTAATGCATCGATTCAACCAAAATACAACAACGTGGACTGTTTATTCTTTCGGGAGTAGGATTTTTATAATACCTACAACAATGATTATGTTGGCAGTGAATGAAAGCAGCTATCGTATAGCCGCAAAGTCTAAGAAGCAAAATGGTGTAATATAAAATATGCTAGAATTTCTATTTATATGCTGTTCAACGTACCACGCATTTAAGATATACTCACAAACTATTCCAGTATATCTTTTTTCTTGTGCTACTTTTTTCCATCAACGCATTACTCGCTTTTAGTCATAATTCAATTGCAAACTGCAGCTTGCAGATTTACAGTATACGCAAGTGTGTTTTGCTTTCTTCCATAATACTTGAATTACTTTTAAGTATTCGGAACCAATTTTTTCAGATGCTATAATGAACATGAGCCATGACATTAAATATCATGATTTGTACAGCAATCAACATCACAATGAGATCGTCATTTTTGTTAATGTCTTACACCTATAATATATACCTAATATTTTTTTTATTAGTGTAGTAATAGTCCATCGTTTATTTACAGTGAAGATTGCATCCTACAATTATCAAAAATATTTATTTCATGTAGAAATAATTGAGAAAAATTTATAATAACAATTTCTAAAATTATTATTATAAATAAAATTGTATCAAAACTATATTAAATTGTAGACACAAGTGAAATTGTCAATTAAATTATCGTTGTTAGTGTAAAAAATCCTTCGCTGTAATAAAACTTTGGACTATAATCTAAATGTCTTAAACTTCATTGTAGGAATGGTATAAATATGCAGCCTTAAAAATTTATACAATGTATCCCCATCATTTTTAGATATTTTATTATACGTTTTTTTCATCCAACGATATATTTATAGTTGGATGAAAAAAATCAGTGCCCACATAAATCAGTACAAGATAGATAGCAATAGTAGTTTAATGAAAGAAAAACTTTTATTTATACCATTAATGCAAAGAAATTCTGTTTAGACGTTACAGTATTATTGTATCAAGTGTTAAATATGAATAATTAATGATTATATCTTAGAAAGGAAATAAGCTTTATGTATGTTTTAAACAATAGCTGTTTTATAGAATTTATTCTAATTAAATTTTTGGCTATTTTTTTTAAGAAAATTGAAAAATATTTAATTCTTCGCAAATATGCTGATAATGTACATCTGCCTTTGATGATAAAGGTGATATAAACAGGCGGCCACGATGAATTTGTGCATTATCAAATGGATGGACTAATATGGTCACGTTTAATTATATAGACTTATTGTGTATTTAGAAACTTTTTACTCGTTTGCAGATATCAATTTTATGAGTAGCAGATGTCCTAGCATGATGGCAAAGCTAATTGTAGTATTTACATTTTATTATAATTGGCTAGTCAAGAGTAATAAGCATTAGACAGCAAACTGAACTTGATTACATCGTTGCATGCAAATAGATTATTTTTATTATCTTCAATTTAACAACCATAAAATTGTACAATACGAGAACAAGAATCTACCTTATACACATGTCTATAGCCGATAATATCATTATGCTTACAGCAAATATGACTTTGGAAGAACATTGCCACCATACTTAAAATCGTATTCTCTTCGCAGAGATATTTTTCTTCATATTACACAACAAGAAACAAAGAGAAGACAAAAAAAAAAGAAATACAGAAACAAAGAATAAATGCTACTGAACAAAGTAAGCACCAATTTAAGCAAAAGATCGAACATAACAGCCACCTTCCGAATTATCGTATTACTTTTCGCAGCTCATTGAATTCCCTTTTCTGTGTTACAAAAATTCGTAAAGAATAACAATGCAGCACAACAAAACATGTGATACACGCAATTCTATCAGAATGGTGGATAGTTTTGCATAGGTAACACGACTGAGGGAATCGGTGGCATCGGAAGTGTGTGTATAAACGTTGGATGATTCGGCTGAACCATAACTAACGAATGCTGCTGATTGGCCATGAAAGAGTTATATTGAGTAGTACTGTATTGTTGGTAAGATGTATTAACTGTATCAGCAGTATTTTTATAACAAAACGTGCCAGACGTTTGGCAAGGTAGGGGCCTCTGAATAGGGCCCCAAGCCAGCTGCTAGCATCTTCGATTATGCCAATGTGTCATGTAATCTTGATAGCTTACAGTAATCTTCTCGCTCTGATAGCGCGTCAGCTTCACACTGCGTCTAATATCTGGTGTGACTAAGCCTTTATAACCTCCCTTATGAAGTAGCGAATCTATTGTTTGAATCTGGTCCCAACCTGTGCAGACAGAATGCACCGATCTGATAAACCAAACTGGGCATTTAGAAAAGATTCGAGAAAAATGTGAGGGTCAATAAACGAATTAGTAATTATCTATAGTACAACATGTGCACATCTACAAACCTTGTTCAGTTGCAACATCAGGTAAATAAGTAGCAGTTCTCTTGTTGCCTTTTTCGTTATGGAACTCTATGCGAATCCCATGGACTCCTATCTCCCAGTCTAAGTAGTCCACGCCGTCTTCGAAATGCCGCAGTATAGAAACGCTTACATGTAAGCGTGGAAGTTCTTCTCGTGTTATAGGATTGAACCGCGAATCCTTGAAAGCACTGTATGAAATAAAATTCTTTTAAAGCACGATTCAAAATTTCAGCTATGAAACTGAACTGAATGTTAAAAATATATATATATGTTACCTAGTAGTAGCATATTCCCTGAGTCCTGCATGTAAGTGCATGGCGTTGAATGTACCAATACAGCCACGTAGTCGCATATCTTTGCCAATAGTCCATGTTACAAACAAAGGACTAGGAATACATAGAAAAACTGTTGTCAATTACATTAATAAATTCATCTTTCATTATAAAAAAAAATCTGTGCTAAGCTGAATTTATATTGTCTTGCAACCATGTTTATAAACTGCACAAAATGTTAATAATCAGTTTCTTTTTAAATCAATCAATAAACGATATGTTTATGTTGTTATCTCTAAACATACTCATGTGAAAAACATTAAAATATCATACTAATAATCAATAATTATCTTCTAAACAACAGAAGAGTAAAACAGGATAAAGATGCATAGGAGAGCCAAGTATTGATTTCTATTTATGAAAGATCAAAGGGAGTTGAGCGCGCTAACAACAGAGAGACGGATTCCGTGCTCCAGTTTACATTTTGGTAAACTAGTACAAAGAAAAACTATACTCGTATCCGTCTCACATAACCTCGACACGAGCTGCACCGAACGAAAAGTTTCAAAAATACAAGATATAAGATAATCATCTTGTAGCATCTGTTATGGAGAGGGCGTTTACAAACGTTCCTCTTCGCTTATTCCCTTCCCTCTTCCGCAATGGCAATGGTTGAAAATACAAAAGTGAGAATGGCTCGGAACAAAGAGGTGCACTAGCGTGGGTGGTGGGAGAAAAAGGACGGCAACAGAGAAAAAAGATGCTTCAACGTAGGAGAAGGGGTTGGCGGGGCGAAAAATCGTGTATAGGGAAAGTCACGAGTGCGAGAAAGAGAGACGCAGCTCACGACGCATAATCGCGACAGGGAGGGAGAGAGACTGGTTGACTAGGGGATGACTTCGCCAATGGTTTTACTCACAATGCTTCGTTGCTGAAGTTGGGCGGTTTTGGTGGATCAAGCTGATGCAGTTGGCAGTAGAGCACATCGAAACAATAGAAACCCATTTCGGGTTGCACGATAGGCGTATTACGTATACGCGTGCCATTTAACACCGCCGTGCCGTTGCATGGTACTCCCGCGGTGTTGTTGTTTAACTTTTGCTTCTTCGTACCGCAACAGCCAGCAGCCATGTTTCCCTCTCAATCGTCGTCGCCGTCGTCTTCGACCACTGCGACCCAAACTGCGGATACCCGAACGGTCTACGACCCGTATGCGTCTCACTCTCGTCCTCCCGTCGCGGTCGCCGCCGTCGTCGTGTCGTGTAGCGTGCCGTGCCGCGCGCGCGCCCCGTCAGATGGAGCAGCACGCGCCAAAACAGCTGTTTCATCGCCCGCCATTTTGCCGCCGTCCACTCCGTCTGCCTCCCTCGCTTTGTTAGTACGAAGTGACGAAAAGTGGAAGATTAATTATTGGGTCGTTTATCACGCATGGCATTTAATCATTTGGAAACAATAATTTCGGAGTGGAGTTGTAAAATAATGTAGATGAGTATTTAAACATATTGAAACTTGATTGCAAAGCACGTATCATTAATTCAAAACATACATGATACTTGAATATACAGAACTGATTTGAGACAATTTGGAAAAGAAACAGGATTTGTTTTACTCTGAATTTTGAGAGAGTAAACTTCTCAATGCATTATTTAGTGGTAAATATAATAAAAGTTATGAAATTGATGTGCGATTCTAAGTATTAATATAATGTAACACGTGTTGTTTCTCCTTTCTTTTTAGAAAAACGAAAATGCGAAGTATGACTTCTCGAAATTTAGAATGATATAAAGCTTGATTATACAAACAATTAACAATATGTATTCGGCCAAGTCATTCAAGAGAAATCAGATTCTACTTTCTACTTTATGGCTCACATATTTTCAACTTTATCATTGGTAAGTTAAAATGGTGATCATTGCAAAATTCAGCACAGCGAGTGAAAGTAACGGGTGCGAACGAGTGATTCAGTTCCTAATTTTCAACTTTCCATGTCTGTGCCCTACATTATTACTTACCACAGCAGCTGCGAAACGATCATGTTTTTTGATGAGCGCTAATTCCATTATGCATCCTCGATGATTGTCTCTGACAATGAATGGAAGCGGCGGTGCAACTACGTCGTATACAAAAACGCCGTGAGCCGGCGTGGACGTGAAGGAACAGACTGCCAAAGAACTCCGTCGTTGATAACAATCAGCGATGAAGTGTACAACGTCACACGAGAAAAACACGGTCTCGATCATCTGAGAGATCTGGAGACCCGGAACACAACAACGCGCAATATGTCGACGTCTGCACGGCCGAACAACCGTGGCCACCGAAGGGTTACAGTCAATCGCTCGCACGGAGAATTGTCACGATGCGTAATCACGCGTCGTGCAACAACGATAACGCGCTTCTGCGGTTTAACACTGCGACCGCCGATACACAGATACGAGACACGGCACGACTTCGATCAACTCGACCGTGCGTCGCGACGCCGGTCGCGTCGCACTTGCCCGCGCGTCATTGCGACGCCATCTCGCAGCTGCTCCCGCGCGATTAAAAGGTATATATAGAAACATATAATATATATATATATATATTTACTTTTTGTTATTAAATTTGACTGTGTTATCTGCATCTTTTAATTTTTTTTTAAATATTTTAAATGAGATGAATCTTTATTTATTATATATAATAGGTGTATTTTGAAGTTTTAAAGGAACAATGCAGCGAGAATTGATCCACAATATTCCTTATGACAATATAAAACTTTATTTTAACTTTTCCATTCCAGTGAAAGTTGCCTGTAATATTTTTATATAATTTTCGTGACTAATAATATTAATGGTTTCTTAATTAAGTTATCCTTGCTGTGTTTGACTTGTAAATAAAAAAACAGCCCGTGGCTTTCGCTGCCATTTAATACATAATGTGCAAATGCAATCAAAATGAGCACGTATTCGCTCGATATATTATTATTACGCTAATGTGTGTGATACCAAATATGGCAATAAATATTAATCTGCAAATACGCAGGCTACACTTTGGGAATAATTCTTATTTAACATTAATCACTATTAATTAAATACTATATTAATTACGTGAAAAGGATGGAGATAAACTGTATGTATATGCGTATATAAAATTCTTACTCTATATAAAATGCGTATATTGCGTAAATCTTGAGGCAGTTTCACAAAATATAGAATAATTTATTCAGCCAATTCATATGACGTAATGATTATCGAACTTAAATAATATGCCCTATGTGACCTAATTTCCATTGCACTAATAACATCAAGAAATTATTTCGTAAATCCATTTTTATTGTTTTTCACAGATAAAATTCAGTAAACATTAATATAATTTTCTTGTATATCATAAAATATAATCACAACGCTAGTTAGAATTATTTTCGTTTTCAATTGTGAAAGTGCATCATTCATACGTGTAAATCGTAGTAATATCTGTTACAGAAACGAGTCCCATAGGCCAAATGAGCGCATACATGAGTCAACAAGTAAAGTATGCTTGGCAGTTTATATTGGACGTTTGTGCCGAGACTCAGAAGGCAAGATATCAGGAACTCGCTAATTATCGATTCAAAAATTTTACGCAGATAATAATGACAACACCAATTAATGCGTACAACACGCGGATACATAATGTAATAAAGGTAAGACAATAATAATTTTCATTTACATATTTTTAACAAATTTCATTAGTATAAAATATAAAACATACGACAGAGCGAATAAATTGGCAGTGTTTAAAGCCCGCTATCGAAAATAGCCAGCAGCTCAAGAAAAGCAGAATTGATACCGAAAAATATGTCATAATTTTGTTCAATATTTCATTTATATCAATATTACAAGATATGTAGCTTGAAAAATATTTAATGATACACATTAATAGATCCACATAATTGGTGCAATTATTATGAAATTATGATATTTTATGAATTCACAATGAGATCTTTATATTTTCTTACTTACATCTAACTTATATCTAATATTTATCTTTTTTGTTGTGCCATGTTTCCTTTTAATATTTCACTAAAGAAATCATTAGTAACAGAAAATTTTTATTTGTTTGTCAAACTTATTGCTTTTTGTGATTAAAAGTAACTGTCATATTTTAATAGGGCAAATGTCTTTTTATGCTCATGTGTGTGCGTTATAATATGATTAAAAATATATTCTAATCAGTGAAAAATATTAATAGAGAGAAATCATCGAAAACTCTCAATTTTTTGATTAACATATTTATACTCTAAAAATGTTATATAGATGTTATATATATATATAATAAGATAATTCTGACTTTTGTACATTAAATCTTGTGAGGCAGGCAGTGAATTTTAGGCGTATATAATCACTGTCCTTAAAAAGTTCTCATTGTCGTTTTTACATTATTGATATAAATTGATTTTATAGAATATGGTGGCAACGCTAATTCCTGTTATTATAAAAAAAAATTGAATGCATTTATTAAAAAGAATTAAGCAATATGCATCGCCAAATTTTTCTGTTTATTTCTGACAAATTTCTGAAATAGAAGTTTCGAAAATTATTGCAATATAACATCTTTATATTTGAACATGAATAGATATAAATATAATTTTTAATAAATATAATTTTTATAAATTTTAAATATATCTCTGTATTAAATATTATAAATATTAATACTGATCAATCAGTATGAAATATATTATATATAATTTCTGTCACAATGTAATATAACACAACATTGAACAATTAGACGGTGCCATCATATGTGAATTATGATTCTCAAGACGGAGCATGTGGTATCATAAATGGGAGACTGTGTACGCTGAGACACAGAAACACGCACCACTTTAAACAGTGGAAAATTGCGAGAAACCACCGTCTCCAGTGTCATTTCCGCTTGCGTATTCCGCGGTCCGCCGTGTCGTGCGCCGAAAAGCGATGCGACGATCGAGAGTAAAGCGGTGCGGGCGGATAAGACGGGCCTGCGTCGTCCCACCAGGGGGCTGGATTATTACGTACCGGTACCATAACTGGGGGCAAGGGTAGCGGGTGTATGAACGTCGAGCGATTAGATTGCGCCAGGATTTGCGAGTTGTGCTGACCGGACGCGAAGGAATTGTGCCACGTATTATTTTCATTTTGTGAATGAGAAGAACTGAATGTATGCGCGTTATTGTATCGAGCTTCAGCGGACCGTTGAAACAGGGACCCTTGATGAGGGCCCCAGGCGATCTGCTAGCATCTTCGATTGTGGCAATGCGTCATGTAATCTTGATAACTCACGGTGACTTCCTCGCTTTGATAGCGAGTCAGTTTCAGGCTACGACGGATATCGGGTGTGACTAGGCCTTTGAAGCCGCCCTTATGCAGCAGAGAATCTATCGTTTGTATCTGGTCCCATCCTGGATCAAAGATTATCCTTCAACGTACAGACGAAACCTCGAGGGCTACTTCTCCTACTCTACGCTATAAAAAAATACGCACCTTGCTCCATAGCCACGCTGGGCAAGTACGTAGCCGTCCGTTTATTACCTTTCTCATTGTAGAATTCTATGCGAATTCCGTGTACACCTACTTCCCAATCTAAATAGTCAACTCCATCTTCGAAATGTCGTAAAATCGACACGCTTACATGCAGGCGCGGAAACTCGTCTCGAGTTATGGGATTAAATCGAGAGTCTTTGAATGCGCTTTAAAATATACATAAACGCATATTAAATAATGGCTATTATTTTACTATGTTAACTATTATGTTTATTCAAACGCATATCGTTTAATGTGAGAAATCATCTCACCTAGTTGTAGCATATTCGCGTAGCCCAGCATGTAAATGCATCGCGTTAAAAGTACCAATACAACCTCGTAATCTCATATCTTTTCCTATTGTCCATGTCACAAATAAAGGGCTGAAAAGATGTATTTATATTAAAAACTTCATGTTGAAACATTTCTCTTTATTTTCATCAGCATATTCTTTATTTTCATAGCAATTCTTCTATATGAAATTTCAGATTGTATCAAGATACAGTCAATATATTTAAAAAAAAAACAAATTTTTTAATATTTAACAAAATACAATTAAAACAAATATAACAAAAACGGCAACTTTTAGATTTATCTCTTGCCGTAATTTTTTTTCACAAATAAATAACAGTGTAATACAAAAACACCTGATAAAAGCGTCGCGACTAACAACGCTTCAGCAGATACCGTAATAAAAAATGCATCCTCGACCGCCTACACAGCGTTGGCGCTATACAATACGAGAAATCGACGCGTGTCGCGCACGATAGATAATCCACACATAAGAATTCTTTCAATGCGCCAATAATACATCTTAGTCGATTTTGCAAACAGATTTATCCGTAGAATCAATATAAAGACGAATGATTTAATACAAACAACATATATAACACAAACATAACAAAATAAAAATCTGGCAGTAGGCGTAAACATGTTTTCATATCTTAAAGAACTTTTATTGTAAAAAAATTGCAGAAATTTTTCGGACGCGGATAAAGCGCGCGCGCACGAGGGAGATGACATACGGCGCGTCATCGGAGATGAACGAAGATAACAGCTGACGCGCGAGCGAGACGGATGGACATGCAGCTATGCTGTGAGAGAGGGAGGAAAAGATAGAAAAATAGACGACGCGCGAAGTTACTCACAATGGTTCGTTGCTGAAATTAGGCGTCTTTGGTGGGTCCAATTGATGCAACTGGCAGTAGAGCACGTCGAAGCAAAAGAATCCCATCTCCGGCTGGGCGATTGTCATAGGCTTTCTCGATACACCGTGTCGTATGACGGTACCATCGCACGGCGACAGGCTTGACGTCGCGCCGCCGCCGCCGCCACCGCCGCCCAGCCTCTGCTTCTTCGCGCCACAACAACCAGCGGCCATGTTCCTCTTCAAAAGGTCACCGGCGAGCACTGCTGTTGCGGCTCGTCTTCTCACTCCCCGTTTACGAGGTCCCTCGACACGACGTATCCTACGTCGACGTCGTCGCCGACGCGCGCCGGATCGCGCCCGCGCTCCGCTAGATGTCGATCCGGCGGCGTGAACAGCTGTTTTATTACCCGCCATTTGTACTAAGGCGTCGCGTCATCACACTATTGATAATTAGCGAACGTCTGCCACCGTACTGCATCGCGCGAAGTTGCTCATGGTCATGCGCGGTCATGCGCGAGAAACGCGCGAGTGGATGGTAGCGTCCTCTACAGGATTCCCTTAGCAAAGATGGTAATCTTCATATACTATTTGTTTAATGGAAACAAAATTATATTCTGCTAATTTTCCGTTCTTTTATACGCTGTTACATCAATGATTTAAGATCGTTGCGCGAAACATGGCGGCAATCCACAGCGGCGGCGTCGAGATTCTAAAATTACGAGACGTTGAAACAGAATTGGAAGGTAAAAACTCAAGGTAAAAATATAAATAATACTTTCTTCAAAGCTGGTAGAAAAGCTTTAATCGGCGCCCGGCGGGCAAGCGAAAGATTAAGTCGATTTATTCTATTTAATCTCGTTATACTTTGAGCGAAATAATTGAAATAGAAAGTCTTATCCAAGAAAGCCCACGCGTATCGTTATCGACTAATTAATTCGTCGTAACTATGTGTCGAAATGACTTTCTCTCCCATTGAATAAAATTATTACACACAATATTGAGTTTGTTGGAAACAAGCGCTTCATACGTTAATTTCAGTTCTAAACGGAAAATATGTTCTGACTATGACAGAATTAATTTTTGTAAATGTAGCGTAATTAAATGTTTTCTTTTTTAATTTTCTCATTTTATTGTTGCAGTGTAACTATGCTTAGTCAGCGCATGATCATAATTTAGTGTTTTTTATTTTTCTTTGCTAGGAATATGCGGTGTTAAATCTCTGGCCGCTTTTTGTTCAACACCATGTAGACGGCGCGCGGTTGCGCACATTGCTTGAGCGCGCCGCGAAAATTGCGAAAGCGAGTCGCGGCCGCGTAATGACGTCGCCGGCAGCAAGGGCACCTGGATTCCTAGTTCCTTACCTGGCACCTGCTGCCTACGATGCATCGCCGTGCAGGCCCGAGGCGTGACAGCGAAATCAACCTGGCAACATGCGCGCGCTTGCGACCACTCGCTAGCTGTCATAAATTCACTAGTTACTTTCGTGGTGCTTCGATATTTCTACGGACCCGCCGCCAAACGAACGAAAACGGAAGTGATCGGACCGGATCGGAAATTCGGAAGCGTGACGTCGATCAGCATACGATTCACCGGCGCAAATTCATCGTGCCGATTTCTGTGCATGCCGGTGTGGCCGCTCGCGTGCAGCCGAGGAATGGATTTTCAAAGTGCAGCGCACCAAGGATAACCCTGATTCGAACTCCAGGCAAGAAGCAGTGGAATCAGCTTTCGGATTCATCGGGTAAGTCTTTATCGAATCATTATCTATGTCGCATCGATCAAACGCTCATTTCAATACCTAACCTCCCGATATTTATTTATAAGTTAATGCATTCGAGGGCATGTTACATAAAACGACAACGCGTGCGATTAAATGTGAGTCACGTTTGCGCAATCTGACGCGCGTTACCGGCGTGAAGTCACGTCTCGCGATTTTTCAATGCAGCCGAAATTTAAGCAAATGCACGCGCAACTCGCCGGCAATTCGGTAAACAAGAATCGCATATCTCACATACCAAATATCGAGAGGTATCTCGAAATTAATTAAACCAATTTTATTCATTTTTCTTTCGGAAAAAATAATTATTTTTAATGAAATAAAAATAATGATGAGAGTTTATTATTACACTGAAAAATGATATTTATTTGCGATTTAAAGTGAAAATAGTAGAAATTTTATTCGACTGTTCGCCAATACCGCAAACCCTTTCTCTCAGCGAAATTCAGTGATTAGCAAGTTGTACATACGCTGCACACAGACGAATACTCATGTTATCCGCTTTATCGTTCGATCTAGTCTTAGGTAAGAGTAATTAGTCTCGTAACTCCGAAAACTATTCGGCCGCTGCGCGGTTCCCATCGGCTCTCCCAACTCTGGGGAATTAATTACGATACGTCACGTATTTATCGTGATAATCGCTGACACCGTCGTCACACGGTCTAATTCGCGTGGCGCAATTATCGCGATGTCTGCAGGTATAATCCTATAGTTTATCATGCACTTTACAACTGATCTATCTGTTGATAGATCGCGATTAGCCAGTTGTGTAGAAATAAATTCGTGACATTGATACTATTTGAAAATTATTCTTCCGTAACATTGCGATCCGTTATGCATCGACTATTTTTCGATTATATAGCTGACGCCCGAGATTATGATTTCATCGAGGCGTCATTGATTCACAGATTGCACAATTTCGTTCTGACGACGATTTCGTGATTTTTTCGATTTGTGACATTTTCGAACGTTTTTCGCACTTTATCACAAAGAATTCGGCAAAATCACGACGCGACACGGGAGTACAATCCTGCCGAAACACACAAAATGCATTTGCCAGTTTAACGCGGTAACTGTTGATAATGCACTTGTTCGCATACCGCAGACTCGAATTCACCATTAGTATTTCGCGAGATATTTCCTCGGAATTTCGGCATGTTATTTTAGAATGCGATAAAAATACGCGCAGGATGAGTTGTTGATTAAAAGGTCTCGGAACGTGAGAGAAAATCATAAACCATACACATTCGCATTTTCTATGCAAGGATTCAATCGTGTTTGCTCGCGTCGAAGAATAGTTTAGATATCGGTTGGAAAACCACGGCGTTCCGCGAGACTCAGGTGATGTAATCTTCATGCAGGTGGGTTATGCGCATAAGAAGATACGCATACTTACGCACAGCTTAAATTACACGGCTAAGGAAGCTGCGGCGGTTTTATGCTCGCAACCGTGTAGCTCGACGTAAAATGCAAACAATGTTCCTCCTTCGTCATTCTTTGTAACAATCGCGCCTATTACCACCTTTCTCCTCCCACTTGGCCCGATTTTACAAGACAATCCGATGCTACTCGACTCCAGTATTTATGCTTTTACTGAATACACACACGTGCCACTTTCCGTTTCGTTTATTGTCTCATTGTAGCGGGCGTTAAGGGCGAAGGTAGGTCGAAATGTCGGAGCGAAATTTCTGCACGACTACAGATGTATTTTGTGTGATCACGCGCGAATTTCACGCTTTGTCCTCGACCTTCGGAAACGACGGCAAAGAATGTAGTAGCCACTTGAATGTTTGCAGTAGGAATGCACTGCATCTTTTATTCGCGTAATACAGTGCAAGGGAAGCGCTTATGAGAAATACGTAACGGATCGCTGACTCACGGTGAGTTCTTTCTCGATGCATTTTGCATAAAAGTGCTGCGAGAAAAATGCTTTTAAACAAAAAAGGGAGGAGAGAAAGCAAATTAATATTTCTTAAAAACGAGATTATTTCGTTCGAGAAAATGTGTTAATAGCAAAAGTTCATATTAATAATTGATAACAGTTGTTACTAACATTTGCAGTTGAAAATGAATTGAGATAATTATAAAATTAATTGGAATATTAATGACATTTATTATACTTCTATTGTTTGTCGTGTGACACAATTGTTATTAATTATATTAATTTCTCTGTTTACCTATCTAATTCATGCGATTAAATTTATATTTCTATCGCATCTTCAGCAAAATTACGCGATAATCAAAATATGAAAAATTTAAAACGGCAAACAAGTATGCCACGATGAAATTCGCATAATACAAATCAGAAATTCCACGCGATGCTCCTTAGCCGATGCGTATCTGCGCCTACCACTTAACAATCGCATGCTTATTGAGAAACCCTTACCTTGAGAGGACATTAGCTGCCGCTCATCAGCGGTATGCATTCCCACACCTTCACCTTTATATGCTTGTAATACGCTATCTTTCGCGATGAGGCGTGCGCGTTCTTGAATTATTTATATCATTCATTAATGATTCAAAAAGAATAATGCGTATTATAACCTTTGCTTTGGATTAATTTTATCGATTAGTCTGAAAATGTTTAATCTTTTGCACACATACATTTTTAGGGAAAGTTATTATAAAAAGAATATTTGTTTTTTTAAATGTGATTTCATGGTTTTGGAATATCGAACATACCGACGAGCAAATACAAGCGGCAAACCGACGTTACCGATTGCGTTAACGGGCCGTCCACGGATCCTGAGCTTTAATAATTTAGCACTGTTAATTATTCAAATCGAGAGCCGCGTACTTACACACTGTGTGTACACACAACTTCGTGTAAATTAGCGCCATCGTTACTTGTGGCACAGATCGAATAGCACAGAGCACATTGGATTATGCCAGAGGCAGCGAATTATGTTCGCAATTATACCAAAGTTTCCTTTGACTCAAAACGCTTTGCCGCTCAGTCCTTTGTTGGAGATGAGTCAGTACATCCGAGATTTAAATTGACATCCAATATGTACGTTCCGTATCGAAGAGCAAAAATGTAGAACACACAATTGTGAAAAACAAGTTAATCAAATACATTTTATTCTGATAATTTATATAGTTTGCATTCGCAAGCATCTTTATTTACATTAATATGAATAATACTCATCACTTTAATTAGACATATAATATAAAGCTTACTTAGAGCCAGAACTAGGTTTTGGTGCTCAAATTCGTTATGTATTATTATTTCGTTACAAATTCATAAGAAAACTAACGTTTCGGTCTCAAGGATTAGATCATCTTCAGTCTGTACACGATGAAACGCAATAAAAACAAGTTAAGTGTTATAAAAATTTTTAAACGCAAACGCGAATTCGCTTATTCATTTTTGGCGTCCAATCGTATCAATTCAAAGAGCCATTCTCTTAAATTTTAATTTATAATTTCATTACTTTAAATTGCATAGGAATCGCCGCTATTAATCTTTTTCTTTATACCGTTTTAATCCGCGACCTTTGGACACATTAATTTTCTTGATAACAGAAAAGTGTGAAACAAGCATATCATTTGTTCAATGATACCTCGCAGCGCAGCGCGCTGTCAAGAACCGTCGTTATGCAAATAACGCGCTTGATACGAAACATGCTCTTTAACGAGTGCATCCCAGATGAACACGCATTCGTAGTTTCGCCACGCAAGGTGAATCACCGTAACGAAAGTGCAGAGACCCCTCTTGCGGTGCGCGTATCTGCGCACCGAGATGTTTGATTCCGCGCGGAACGGAAAACGGCGTGGAAGGATAGCGCGCGAATCGCGACCGACAGTGTTTCTCAAACATTTTGCACGACAGTGCAAATTTTTGTTCGACGCGCTATAAATATTAAACGTCATAAGTTTCGCGCGAGGGTATAAATTATACCGTTTCTCTCTCTTTACGATTTTAACGATGCTCTAAATCGAAGTACGGCGAGCACATCGATCGATGTCGCAGTGTCTATTTCCACGTCGCGAATCTATGTGAAAACTAAATGTTCGATCGCGTTCAGGTTCTTGAACTCTTCACCTCGACGAAAATAGGGGAGTCAGTTCGTACGTTTCGGAATCGAATTTGCTCCGATTTTGCATTCGCCAAACGTAGAACTTAATTTGATTTGAGTATCTGTGACATTAAAATGGCTCGCTAACTGACGTTTGCTTTACTTCTCACTGCATCGGGTCACTGTACTATTCCATTATCGGATTTTTATAAATATTTATCTAAATGTTTAATTCACAATCTAATTCTTGCATTCTTATTCGTTTTATAATACTGCAAAGTGCACCTTTGTGTAGAAAAATGTGGGCGAGTAGAGAACACGTTATAAAATCCTTTTTTTTTATTTTTTTTTAATGCTTGGCTTTTATTAATCTTTACGCATAATCATAAATATAATACTATTCAAAGTGAGCGCTAATATTAGCATAATGAGATTTCTGGATGCTTGGGTGGCAGTGAAAAATGTTATAGGATATCGTACATGACTTTTATCGGCGAACATTTAATTCGAACATTGCAAACAACCGTGAATGATTGATTAAGTTCGACGTCGGCTTTGAAACTCCCACGTTCTGATAATACATGCCCGTGAATGAGATGTGTGTTTTGAAACGATTGCAATATCGACTATAATAAAATCAATATGCCGACAGCTATTTACATATGTACAGTGGTAACACGACAGTGTAACAACGCGTGCGGTAAAATGCATCAACTCGGCAACCGCAACACGCGCAGCGAAACGCATAGCCACAACCTCGCTGGGCTTTTCGAGCGCTCTCATAGTTCGATGAAGTATTTCCGATACGGATATCGGTCAGAGCGCGTGCCGTGTTGATTATTCTCGCAACTATTTTCCTAGTTAAGGTCGCGTAGCCGCTACGATCTTTTATGGATGAGAAGAGGAGAAACCAAGAGAAAAAGTATATGTATAAATAAATATCTAGAATATATTCGCGTCGGTAAAATTCACTTTTGCACGAATTTTGATGTGAAAGCGAGTAGAACGGCGAGGAAGATGTATCGCCAGATTCTGTCATCGGCGACGCACATCGCCGACGATCGATAATGCGCGTTCGGCTTAAGATCCTCCGTTTTATTCCGCCGGCAGTAGTACTCGTCGTCATTCGGTAGAACGTCCTTCACGATGTTGAGGAATTCTTCGAAGGGGCATAACTCCAAGCAGCCGGGGATCTTCTGTACTATCAGTTGCTCCGTAACGCCCGTCCATAGTAAAACCTGCGAAGACGCGCGGCGTGAGAAATAAATCTTCAGTGCGTTAAACTCCATAAAATGTTAGTAATAGCAAAGCATAGTACGTATAAAATACGTGTAAAAATAGTAAGCAGCGATAAATAGTAAAAATAGAATAATTAATTCTTCTTTAAACTACATTTTTTAAAGAGATACAATTGATTGTTTCACGTGAAAAATCTATATAGATCAATTATAAATGAATTTAATTTCTGGATTTATTGGATTGATCTGCAAAATGTATATTATGTAACATACCTGGACATAGTAACTTCCCTTTTTGTCCCGAAGAGTCTCTAGAATGATCGTAGAACCGTAAGCAGGAATCGCTGGTTCGTTTATACCTAAAGCGTAGGCAAGAGCACCCACGTTAGCTTCGTGACTGCCGAATAGAAAAGCTTTCCTGTCGCGTGGCGATTTTCCTGCTCGATGCTCTTCAATGTCCTCTACCATTTTGCGAAGCAGTATGCCTGTCGCGATAAGAAGTTTAGAGATTTTATTTTGAAGTAACAAAATAAAAAAGAATAGGAATTGTACAACATGTCCTTGAAACAGATCATTAAATTTCGATTATGTATGAGATCTAAGAATCTTGAAAATAAAAAAAAAATCGTACGAATAAAAATCTGAAAATGTATCTGTGGTAAAGTTTTATAAGAATGCTTCAAAACTTCAGAGTATTTTACAGATAATCTTAAGACAAATATTGTTTTTCTTTTAAATTTAAAGGAATTGCTGGAATGGACTTTTCCCTGCAGCAATGCGCGATTCACATCGTCGTTTTATGAACTCGAATATAAGCGGAATTTTTTTTATACGTTTTTCGATACAGATTCATTACTACATCAAGCTGATTTACTGAATTAACAAATACTGTTATCGTTATTTATTATTAACACAAAGAAAGTAATATTATTTTTGTCTTTTTAACTTTACCATATAAAACACGTTTATGGCTCTAAAAGAACGTATACGTTCTTTTATTATATAAAAAGTAAAAGGTATATATAACTTTTACTTTTTATATAATCTTTTTTTCATTCTCAAGACAGAATTTGTTATCAAAAGTTTTAGCGATGCTTTGTTTAGCTGAGTACTGACCTCCGTTTAATCTCCTCAAGGTTTTTGTGTATGATCGTAACTTGAAGTCTAACTCTATTATCTCTTCCATCGGATTTGGGAAAACATTTTGAGTCCATTTTGGTAGCGTTAAATTTTGTGCAGCCTAGAAATGGTCATATGACAAAAAATCAGATAAATATATTTTTAGGCAATTTCTTACTGTCGAAATAATTGCTTACTTCTTCTTTCAATAAATTATACATGTGAGCGACCGCTTCCGTATTGTTGATCAATTTTCCAGAATGATCTGTCAAATAATCCATTACGTTCTTGTATTTGCTGATCATCCCTTTTGTACTGTCTAGCTGAAGGAAACGTCTATATTCTTCCTTGTATCTAACAATCAATGAAAGATGGAAACATTTATAAATAAGAACATTATTAGATTTCCATGAAAAACAAAACAAAAAAGGATAAAATAGTTAAGCTTTCTTATTCTCCTTATTCCGGAAATTTTTTATCTATCAGTGAAGAAGCAAAATGATTTAATAAAAAGATAAAAATTGTTAAACGTATCAAAGAAAATCATAAAAAGAGGAAAAAGAGAGGAGAGGGAAAAAGATTTAAGAATTCTCAATTCTGTCATCTTACGAGCAATTTCCGCTAAAGTTACTTACCGATGACAGTAATGCGGAAACAAGAGGTTGTCAACCTTGTATGGCACGAAGAACGTGTACGCCGGAATCCAGGGCAAGTGTGGATTCCAGGTTTGCCTCTCGGAGGGCGGGAATAATCCCGCTAGGACTAACTGGAGAGACAGCTGAGTCCGTGGAACTTCCGTGGATCGGGCATAGATCTTGTCCGGCCAATAATCCGGGCCGAAATATTGATCGTACCTCTCACGCAGCATCGTGCCGATTTTGTACTCCCGCATCTTGCCTTGCTAATTGCACGAAAGACATCACAATTAGGCAAATCTCGGAGAGACGGATATAGAAAAATTACGAACGTTTTTAGGTCAGCTTATTTTCTAATTCAACATGAATATTTGTCGAAATCGCAAAATTGATTTTAGATTTTTACCTCGACGGAAATTATTGGCACTTTGGAAAACGATGACGAACATCCAATATATCGTGTTGCATAAGTCATAAAATAAAGATTGTGAAACTGATAGAAGCTTTATGATAAAAAACTTAGCAATAGTATGATTCAGTCTACACTGATTTTAAACATCTATTAAAAAATATTACACATGGATGATGTGTCATCACACATATAATACACGATGTCCATTGAACGATCAACGCATACAATTTCTAATATTGTCAAGATAACAGCGTTTCACAATTTATTTGTTGTAATTTATACTCACGTTGGTCAAGTCGCCATTTCCCATCGGGTAGTAAGAGTGTTCGAGATGCGGATCATTGGGGTAGTTTTGGAATTCTCGATGGGGCACTTTGTCACCGTGGCGAAATACCTTTCAAACAGAATATACTCGTGTAAGTTGTATCGTCAACATCTATTATCATCACTGTCACAGCGCAGACGGTCATGATAATGTAAATGTTTCGTTACTTGTCTCTTGCGCGAAGGATCGCTTTTCCATAACTTCTTAATTTTTCTCGAAAACTTTTCTTGTGTGACATCAGACTCGCGTCTACGCAACTTGCGACGCAAAAAAAAAATATATTATATATATATATATATATATATATATATATATATATATATAGTATATAGTATATA